AAAAAGCAAATGGAATTTTTGTTGTTGCTGTTTGCTTATGAAGGAATTCTATGAATTGCATCCAAGATGCTGTGAATGTAAGGGAGGAAGATGAGAGCAGATTCTGTTATGTGTGTTACCCTCAGTGCTCTGAGGGCCGAGTGAAACTTGCAGAGGGAAGTTCCCAGGGGAATGCCATTGCTGTGCACCATTTCCTATAGCTGTCATCAGTGAAGGCCTGCCCAATCCAGTGATCCCAATGAAGAGGTCTTGGCATTCAGCATTGTGGAAACACAAGGAAGGTGGTGAGATGCTTTTCCCACTGTCTCCATAAACTCACCAGAAGACTAGAACAGTTCCTGAAGTCCAGAGAGGAAGAACCTCTTTCTGGAGCAGAGGTAGTGGTGAGACTCCAGCCTGCATGGCCATGAAGGCTCCCTCAGGCTGCCCGGCCCCAGGACAGGGATCAGGCCGTTGCAGTCTGAAATGCTCCTTTTTGCCCAGGCCATGCTGCTTTCTGCTGGGACTGTTCTCACAGGAAGCCAGTTGCAGGTATTACCCTGGGGAAGCAGGACAAAGGCAGCAGGAAAAGCACCAGTAGACTGTGTCCTGCCCTCCCACAGAATGAGAAGGAAGTCCAACTGTGTTGGCTCCTGTTCAAACCTCACCCCATCAGAGCCTGATCCTCGCCCTTTCCCTTTCCCCAGGGAGGCAAAGGAAAGCAAGTAGGGCAGGTGGGTGGGGAAGGCTCCCTCTCACAGAGAAGTGGGGACTGAGGGAAGGTCTCAGAGACAGGGAGAAGCCCATCCAAGAAGAGAGTGGAGCAGCAGAGGGTAGACCCATAGCCCCAAGAAACCCTACTGCTTTCTCTCACCATTTGCCCTCAGACAGTCTCCTCTAAGAATAAACTGCACCTCCCTGTTCTTACATAAACACTGCTTTGCTACTTCATACTTTGTCTTCTTTCAATACTGATGACCTGTTCGGCCACCCTCTCACCACCACTCACTCCAGCACAGTAGGGTGCCACAGCAAAACTGAATTTTGCTATCCAAGGTAACATTCTGGTTGTGTAATTCTGGGGCTACAACGCCTTGACTCACTTCTACTTCTTTCTGTGCTTTTCCTAAAGAGCTCCCAGTTTTCACTCACAAAATATTGTCTCAAATTGGAGCTTATTCCAGCTTCTGTTTCCCTTTCTTATTGCAGGATAATGCCATCTGCCTGTGATCACCTTTTATCCCGTGGCAGTCTGTTTATGGATTATATAGACATTTCCCACTGCAAAGAGAACCCAGCAAAATGAGAAAGGCAGTACAGCAATACAGGAAAGCAACATTACAGACAACAGCACCAAGAATTCCTGTATCTGCTTCTTCTACTATCAATGCATTAAAATACAGAATAAAGAGATGAAGCTATTTGTAAGGCAACTACCTCTGTTCTCTTCACTTTTGTAACAACAGCTACAATAAACTGTAAGCAGTAAGAAATGTTTATGTCTGGGCTTGGCAAGCTCTTTTCATGGTATTGCTGGCATTTTCCATGAAATCCTGACACCAAACTATATGGGCTAGCACTAAGCCCCTAACAAGTGCTCCTGTGAAAGAGACCAGGTTCTTCTGATTATCAAGGAAGAAACCAACAAGGAGAATAAGAAATATAACAAACTAAAAATAAAAGTTAAGAAAAAGGGAGAAGAAATGTAGGGGAAGAAGGCAGAAGGGAAGCAAATGAAATAGAGGACAGCAAACAGCAACTCTTGCAAGTGCAGTGGGGGAAGGGATGGAAATGGGAGTGCATAAAACCTTAACAAATACAAACTAGCAGAATATTTGCTCAAAGGAAAATAAGGAAAAAAAGTCTTCTGCCCAATACTGTTTAAGTTTTATTACCCTTTGCAACAAGAAATGCTTATTTTTAAAGATTGCATAGCTCCCCCCCCATTTAAAGCTGACAGAACCTCTACTGTCCTCCACAGCTGACCTAACTGCTGGAATGCTGCTGCACTCGAGTTGCCATTACAAGAATCAGTATCTCTGCATGATCTCACTCCGGGTCACTCCTCACATCACCAGCTCTTAATAGGCTTGTGACCTGTGGGGATTACTAAACCATTGCTGTAAAAATGATAGTGCTGGGAATTGTATAATCTCATCATGTTTTATTTTGCTTGTGAAAAATAACTTCCTAGAGGACTGTCCTTCCTGGAAGGTGTGTCAACTCTCAGTGCCAGAGATGAGCTCACTCTGGAACAGCTCTTCAGCAAATGCTGTTCCAAACTTTGTCCAAAGAAATGCAATTCTGGAAACATAGCAGAGCGAGGCCCTCACCCATAACATATGAAAGGAAAACAATATTTTGACACCTTTTTAGTAGCGGCTATTGTTTATGCTGTTGTTATGGTTGTTTTCTTGCACTCATACAACACAAACTCACCCTAGTTCAGGGCTGAAGTCTCTTTTGAAACATACAGGCATTGAATTAGCTTGCTTTGGATACTACCCTATGACACACTTCCTTCCAAGTAGGCTGAAATAAAACAGAACAGTTCTCAGTTAAGAATAAAAGGCATTTTTCTCAAAAGCTGTTGAAACTGAAATAAAATTGATAGATTGGAGGAACCAAAGATGGAGAAATGCATGTTATAGAACTTTGAAACTTGTGTGTGGGGAGAAGTTTGCCCTCAAGGGTGGAAGAAAAGAGGAAAACACCACAGTGACACCATGCCCCAAAAAGTGCCATATATATATTTATGTACAATTAGACATGAAAAAAAAACAAAAATAATTCCATGAAGGACTTTCTGTTCCAAATTAAAACTGGTAAGTATTTGAACTCAGCAAGAACAGCAATAGTAATACTCCCATTTGTAAAAACGCTCTTGCATGAATAACAGTTTTAGGAGCAGTAGCAACAGAGCCTCAGGTTAGGACCAGCTTTGCTGGGGGGTGTGGAGTGTTAATGGCTGGTCACCACGTGGAGGTTTCCCTTTGCATTCAGCTGCTGGCTGTAGGGATGAACAGTAAGGGTGAGGACCTCTGCTCAGGAAGGTCCTGTGTGTGGCAGGGCACCACGGCTGACCGCTGCCTGGCAGAAGGTGAGTGCAGAGAACGGGGTGTGAAGGGTGGTGATGCTGTTCCAGTCCAAGTATTCCTGACTGGCACAGGCATGTGGGAGGGAAGAAAGGAAGGAAAGGAGACAATGGACCCACCACCACTCATTAGAGCAATATTCCCATCAGCTCCCTCCCCACTAAATCCAGCTGGCATGACAGGAATCCAAGCCTAGAGGCAGTGCTCAGGATCCCACGTTTCCTCCTGCCTCTCATTTTAATACAGATACAAATCACCAAGTCCCACAAGCCTGCACTGCTTAACTTTCACAACCCAGTTACCACCTAGAAACAGCCAATGTGCAGGAACTTGTGGAATTTCACTCACCTGTTGCTTTCTGTCTCCATCTGCCAACTACCATCATCCTGGTTTTCTTGCATAAAAATGTTGGCTTCTATCCCAATGTGACTCTGCTTGAGTTAGGCTGATGCTGGATTCACAGTCTAGCTGTAAGTGAACCAGTCACTAGTTCTGTAGTTGAAAAAATGCACACTGGAAGATTTTAGACCATCTAATGCTATATTGCAGGTGCCTTTCTCTTCCTCAAAGTTTATGGGATCCATCACTACATGCTGCTTTCTTTCAGGGTCAGCTTCAGCACTAAGAAATGAAAGGACTGGGTTTCATATTGCTTGCAACCATATTAGGCAATTTTGATACTTTTGTCTTTTCCACAGCATGCAAAACGATTTATAATGCCAAATTTCTTGCATAGTATTTCTTTCCTAGTCCTTGGATTCCACTTAGTTTGGCCTATGTAGTGACTCACACAGAGGTAGATAATCCATCCCCTGGGCAGTTCAACCGACCCTACCCTTTGGAATTACTTCTCTTAAGGGCAAATAAATTAAGATCAAACCCAATTGTCTGGAAATAAGAATGTGTCAGGAACAATCCTATCCTCTAAGTAAGTACGTGTTAATGTCTCTAAATGTACATAGTACTGAAATTCTAATGTCTTTAAGATAATTATCCCTTCCCTTTTCTGTTCCTTGCTTCTGAAGGCACCGACTTAATCTCATCAGCCCCATTTGGCTTGGGGTTATGCCAGTCAAACTTGGAAATGGTGACCTTTATTTTTTTTTCAGTTTCCCCACTGAGATGGTAAAAGAGCATCCCCAGACAAAACCTTCTGAGCCAAGGTAAATTACTGAGGGAACAGAAGGTCAATTGTCTGCAAAGTTACCTTCTGTCATCAGGCAGCTTGTTTTGAGATTCTCTGTCTGTCACCCTGGAGAGGTGTAAAAACCAGAAAAACGAGTGAAATCGGCGAAATTATCATACAAATAAGATAGTAGATGCTAGAAAAGGAATTCTAAAAAGAAAACTTCACTCAAGCCTGGAATGCAAAGACTGAGAAGACTATATAAGGGTCACCCTACATCTGAATTTATCTCTGATGAAAGTCTCAAGCTGCAGGCAGATGGAATTGTAAATTAATTAGGTTTTGAGTGTTATGGAAATAGGGGATATAATGACACAATACACAGAAATGGACAGGACAGATCAGTGGAAACTTGTTCCAGATGGCAAACTGGAAATACCTTTATTATTAGAGACCTTGAATTCCAGAAATGGAATTTTTCATTGCAATTATCCAAAACTGAGAACAGTTAAATTCTAACACAATTAGCCAGAATGACTGGACCACCAGGGCAAACTTAAATTAAAAATTCCTAGAGAAGTTCCTGAGCACTGAGACAAACTAGGATAGGAATGGTGCACATCTACACTAGTAAATTCTTCTAACCCCTGAAAATATGTGGCTGCACACAAATTGCTTATTGGAAATAGTTCCTGTGATTTTCTAACTTTCAAACCGTATCCATTTGCAAGTGTGCTAGCTGGCAACTGCCAAAATCATGTATAAGAATGTATTATTCATTTCAAGCATAAATTATTGCATTCTTGTTTCCAGTTCTATTTAGTTTATTAGCATCCCAGAATCTCTGCTTTCAGTACATATAGAACAACTTGATGGTTTATTTAAGAAAGTGGAAATCAGTATAAGTAAAAATTTTCTCACTGTTGAGGACAGAATCTGATTATTTCTCCCAAATCAACGACTTTTACTCCGAAACTGAGACGATCTGTTTTCCAATATTGCCTCCACTCATCATGGACTGGAAAGCAGCTTCAAGAGAAATGATGAAGTCAGTTAGTGCCAAGGAACTTTTTAAAAAGTTAAAAAAAAAAAAAAGGTAGAAGTAAATGTATGAAATAGCTCCCCAAAAAGGAGATACCACATTTTGGACTTAAACATATTTATCTTTAATGATGTGCTAAATTAGGAAGGTTAAAAAAAAAAAAAAGCCAGTCTGTAATAAACTGCTAAGGGCAGTTTTGTGTAATAATTACAAAAACTGACCTGCAAAGGGCTGTTTGGCCCTTTACAAGTTAAAGATTACATCTGCTGCTTTTGGGATATGCCACACAAACACCAAGGAGAGAGAGAAGGTGTGAGTGGAGAGCCCACAAATGCTGTGGGTTTCACAAACCTTTGGGAAAGGAAAGATTTATGAATACTCTTATTTACTACAATAATGTGAGAAGCCGGTGCTTTTGTGCAGCAGTTTAATTCCCCCCCCAATAGTAAAACAAATGAAAAATATTTTTTAAACCATCGAATATAAGTTTTGATATTTCTCACACAACATTTAATACCTTGTGGAAAAAAAAACACAACAAAATGCTTATTTTGATCTACAAATCATGTTTTAGATAAAATACACTGGCAAATGAAACATTCTGTTTAGTAAGATTATTAGTCTTAGAAAATGGTGTAAAAATCTCACCACCAATGTTTGCTAAGCCTTCAACCACGGTCTCTCTGACCTGTCAATGCAAAGAAGTCCTTTTAGATTTCTTCAGACAAGTTTAACATTTCATGGAAATGTGCCACAGAAACTGTCAAAATCTAACTCTCTTGCTACACTGGACAGGACTCTGTTTGGGACAGATTCTTCTACCACGAGAGGAGTTAATATTTTCTGATAAATGTGCAGGTGATTTAATTCTTCAATCAGAACTAGAACATCCATGCCCTGCCAAAATTTCACATCTCAGGATTTTCCCAGAAAAATTAACTGATCAGCTGAAGAATTAACAACTGATTTAGACAGACCTCACAGGGAAGGGAGGGATAAAGCATCTACCTATCACAAAATAATAGATGGCGATTATAAAGCTTGAAACTAAATTTCACACAAGGTCCCCAAAAGCATTCAGGACACTAAGCAGTTATCTGAGAGTACATGGTTTTGAAGGTCTGATACCTTAAGTAAAAAAAAAAAAAAAATAAATCACTTGGACCCTATGCTGAAAGATAGAAAGAATACAGACATCAGCAGGATGTAATCAGAAAAGTCTGCCATAATGGTGCTACCTAATAAGCCTGCAATTATACTCACACATTCTTAGGAAAATCTGTTCAATTCTGAGGCATGGTAAGAGAGCCAGGGACAAAGAAATCTGGACTTCTTGTAGCCAGACCATGGCCTGAGGCGATGGCATAAAAGGCCAAAGATTAAACATAAGAGTCCTTACCTTCAGTTTACCCTCTTGGATCCACTGACAGAGTTGTAATATACCGGATTCCTGTTTGTCCATATAGCTCAGCACCAGGAATCTTTCCCTGTGAGAGAAAGGAATGAGCCTTGATATAAGAACCGTCAGTAAGCAAATTTTGAAATCTCTACCAATATTTTCAGGAAAGAGCATTATTGAAACTTCAGGGTTGTGAGTACTAATTACAATGAGACATAGCTCAGAGCTTTGCCAGCTTGTTGAGACAGATCCGTGCAGTGGGAACTTGACAGTAACATCAGACCTAGACAAGTAATTCTGTCCTAGTATCAGAGAAGAGTAATGAAAGCCAAGCAGTATCACCAAAATAAGCAAATTACATAAATGTGAGCCAATTCAATTTTTTTTTTATTTTTTTTTGTGATAGGGAGAATAATTAACAGACCTGCGACTTGATGGTGAGTATAAATTACTTTCAGAATCACTCCCCAATCTTTTGCATATCCTGCTCTCACAGCTGACTATAGCAATCAAGAGAAACTGAAATGATCATCAGAAATGGTCATTACTTGTAGCAAAGTACTGACTAAACTCTCCATGGCTTTCTACTATGCAGGGTATATTTTAGCAATTTTATCCATTTTTAAAAAGTGCAGACAACAGTAACTGAGACAAGAAAGGAATTTTAATTAGAAGAGGTCAATCTGTTTGCATTGCAGAAAGTTGGGGAGACTTTTGATTTCTGTGCAATGAGTGAAAAATCTCCTGACTTTGCTCCTAATTGCTGCCTTAGCTCCACCTGAATCCTGACAGATTCAGCAGTTCCCAGAGTCATAACACCCACAGTCTCATTATCTAATTAAACCCCCAAATACTAAAAATGTATTTTCTATACAATCATTACTGCATCAGCTGCTTCCTTACTTTAAAAGCACTTGATTTTCTCTCTGCCTGAACTGCAACGCTTGGAGAAAAGGCACTCTGCAAAACATCTGAGAACAGAACCATGGCAACACCTTCCCTCCTACTGCAGAACCTGTCAGAGACTCCAGGACTGAATCAAGCAACCAGAAGGTGTAACAACAGACAACCCTGTTAAATGCAACAACACCCTTCCCAGTTTTTATGCCGATACAGACAAAGGTAAGGGAAAGGATTTACTGGTGTTGTGTTGGTAGTTCCCTTCCTCAGCTTGGCAACATTCTGCTCTCAGTACCGGTGCCCACTGCGGATCCACAGGCTGCCTTCCCAGCACCAGAGTCACAACACCACGTGCACAATCTACCTGGAGCCCGGTCACAGGCTCTGGGGGAGAAACGCACCTCGTGATATTCCTTTCTTTCTGTATTTTTTCTATGTGGGGAGGCAGCGGAGGCGGGTAAGGCACATCTTTGTTATACTGAGAGATCTGTCCACACAGGATGATATGGCTGTTCTGATTCATCTGTTTGGGACAGCACAAAGGGGAAAAAAATTACATTCCTTGGTCTCAGAAACTAATTTTCTTCAGTGAGACAATAGATTATATTTTAAAATATTCACATGAGCATCCTTATTTAGCAGCACATCTCCTAGAAAAGAGTGGAAGAATTGCAGGCAGTCCCATTTAACCTGTGACAGCATTTAAATAGATAAATGCCATGCAACAGTGGAAAAAAGAAATGCTATGTAGCCTATGCATAATTTAAAAAGGCATTAAATACAAGGAATAAAAGAAATTGCTATCTTACTCTGTGTCCTTTTTGTCAGGAGGAGAGGAGGAATAGGAGTAAAAGTTTGATACAGTTGTTTGCTACAGCTGTGATTTAGTGCTCCCAGGGATGGCACTGCCACCAGAGGCTCCCTGCCATGTGACAGACTCATTTCATGTTAACAACAGAGGCCTGGTCAAGTGTCTTCATGGATGCTCAGCAGAGCTGGTCTCTTGTGAAGGCAGAAAACCAAAACTGACAAAACCCAAATTATGAGGCTGATAGTCAGTTTTCAGACTATTACCAAGTCTCCTGGCCAAAGAAGCCAGAGAGGAGAAACAGCAACTGTGTTTCTGTTACTACACTGTCAGGCTAGTCCGAATGACAAGACAATGATTTCAAGTATCTGATTCCTCCTCAAGACCAGGGTCAGCCCCTGGGTGAGATTGGTGAAGTGAAAAGCCTGCTCTGCTGTACTCCCCTCTGCATGAGGAATTAATTCAAATCAGGGCACACAGACATTGCAGAAAGACTGGGACAAACCTAATGGCAAACATAATCACCTGACTTATAACCGTGTCGCTGATGTCTCCACCAACATTGTCAAAGTAAACATCCACACCGTGGGGGCAGAGCTCACGGAGCTGCTCTGCCACATCCCCCTTCTTGTAATTGATAGCAGCATCAAACCCCATCTCCTGGACCAAGATCGAGCACTTTTCATCCGTGCCAGCAATCCCCACCACTCTGGAGCAGCCCTCCAGGCGGCCAATCTGCAGGCACAGTTACATAGAACAGACAATAATAAAGAGGAGCTTGTTACTTTGTTCTGTTCAAGTACCAGAGTGAAGAGAAACAAAAATCAAGTAATATTGCCAGAATAAGCAAATGTCTATAAAGTATCAGTGAATTCCACACCTTTTTTTTCTTTATTTTGTGGTAGGGACAATTATTAATGGACCTGCAAGTAAATGGGGAGTATAAATTAACTTTCAGGCTCCACAAAATTTTGCATAGCCTTCTGTAACAGCTGTCTATAGCAATCAAGGACACTTAAATGATCATAAAAAAATTATAATTACTTGTAGCAATGTACTAAATTCTCCACAGCCTTTTAATATGCATGGTGTATTTTAATATTTTTATCCATTTTTTAAAAGCACAGACAACAGTAACCGAGACAAGAAAAGGATTTTAATTAGAAGAGGTCAATCCATTTGCATATCTGGAGTCTGTGGAATCACCAATGACTGGCAGTACTGGAGAGCCAAACAGTATAAAATGACCATCTGCCAAGTACTGTAGTGTAGCTAATAGAAAGCCAAAAAGAAATGCAATAACTGATTTAAATGCATTCTTCATAAATTTCTTTATGCACTGTTTCTTCATAGCTTCTCTATCAGTAAGTCTTAAGCTTGCTTAACAACTAGTGTTTGTGTGTGTATATATACATACAAACACACAAACATTTGTAGATATGTATGTACACACAAACACACTGCAACAGGTTCTGCAAAGGTGAGGAGGATAAAAGGCCTGTAAATCTCAAAACACAAAGGATGTCATAGAACAACAAAAAGAAGGGTTTACTACATTTTTTACCATTTTCTAATATAGAAAAATGAAAAAAGTCTCCAGTCAACTCAAAGACTGTGTTCAAATGGCAGAGTGCTACATAAATGCATGGTAAATACACGTATTTATACCATTTAATTTATTTACGCTAGTGACATGTCTTCACCCTGGGCTGTTTGCTCCTAACCCAGTTGCACAAAACTGAAGTTTCAGACCTAAAATCTTTTTTGGCAAGAGCGTGAGCAGAACCAGGGGCAGTGGTCTCTCCCGTGGAGTTGCACCTGCTGATGCCCTGGTAAGAGGGCACGCTGGCACATCTCACGCCTACCCACCTGG